TATCCCACGACGTTTTTCCAAACGTCATCTTGCTTTTCTCCAAAACCTTCAAATGATAGTTGGATACATGCAAACCATCCCATGTTGCTTTTCCTAGACGCATTACCTTATGCGATTCCCCCAATGTATTCCATTGTACATYGTGTACATTCCAAAGAGCTATCAGTGTGATTGCCAATGTCGATACAAAGAGATATTAACCAATGAGGGCGGCAAATAGCTCTTTATTCGCCAATAATTAACTTATTAAAGCAAATCTGGAAACTTCATAAATACCTTTGAGAATGAATATCTAGCCCAATGCCCTTTGTAACAGCATTACATGTTAAAACTGCGACCCCATCACCTAGAGGCAATGGAGCAAGCCATGCTGGGTTGCACAAGAACTTTGGTGATGGACACTCTTTCTCCATGTGACAGCATGTGGCTGAGGGTTTGAGCCCATCACCAGTACACGTGGGGTAATTGTTACCACAAAAACATGCTTTTCCGCTAGAGATTGAATAAAAGATACATGCAAAGCATGAATATATAGAGGATATTACATGGGCGCGCGCGCGGAGATACGAATTTTATCTTCGAGTGTTAAAAAGATCTCTCACGAGTGAGCGTAGCGAACGAGTGAGAGATTTTCAGCACGAGAAGATAAAATTCGTATCTCCAAGCGGCCATGTAATATTCTGTTTATTATATAATTATCAATAACGTATGTTTTGGCTTTTTCAGGCAATTCTTTCCGTGTATTTTTGAATAGCCATCGCAATGGTGTTATTTTCACACGTGAAAATAACATGTTGTTTTCACGTGTGAAGATATCAATTTTTCGAAATAGAGAAAAATAGATATTTCATTGGTAATTATGTAATAAATATTTTTATTATAAAGAATGGGTTTTTAACAAATACATGAATTGATTAATGCATGAATAAGTGTATGACTTGATGAACACATATGAAATAGAAAGAATAAAGCAAGCAAGCAAGCAAGCAAGCAAGCAAGCAAGCAAGCAAGCAAGATACATACCAGAGGGCTAATCGCTTCAATAAGAAATCGAGAAACAATTCTAAACTCACCTTGCTGATGTATATTCTAGACAATGACATTGTGTTTGATTCCCCAACTCTACAAGAGCKGTCTTGATGATATGATGAAATTCCTTCACATAATAACCTCCCTCGCTRTTAGCAATGAATGCTTTGCTTTCTATCTGAACTGTCGGTGTWGTACCAGTTAAAGCAAGGTTCCTTGCAACCTCTGAATTTATCTATGGAWATATAAATAGGTTAGGTTTATCATKAATGATAATGATGRYAGATGATATATAGATGAGTTTACTGTGTGTTTGTATAAGAATAATCAGTCTCGTCATGTAAAATATCATTTCATTGAGCTTATTTATATTTAAGTATWAAAACAAAGTTTTTAGTTAAAGCCTTGTTGTCCAATTTATGTCGTAAAAAGAGCAAAATCAGGCCAAGCCACAAAAAGGCAAGCCAACGAGAAAGGGAGCTAGTGGGCAAGGCCAGGCAAAAATAGTTTTAGTCTTGAAATACTTACAGGTACTATAGATATATACCTTTGAACTACATCCAACCTGTAACCGAAGAAAGTAGCTTTTTCCAGGAAGTATAACACTACTTGTAAGACCTATTTCATCTTTTTCTACAACACTTATTATCCAAGAGCAGTCGTCCAAATGAACTGCAAAAGACTGCAGGAAGAAAGCCAAAAGAAAAACCACTTGGAATGTGTTTTTGACAAAGCTGTGGCGAAAATAATATAAGGAGAGCTTTATCATGTCTTAAGTCTTTTGTTTTCAGTATCAGTTAAGGTCYTTTTAGAGTTCTTATTTCATTAAACGATATCGAAAGAAGAGAGGAATACACTTAAAGTTTGAAAGACCGCCATTTTGCAAGAATCTCACCTTACCACAGGGATACCAATTAGCGACAGGAACCCCACTTTGAGTCTATGATTTTGTTAATTTTGCGTCGAAATTTTATTTTATCTTTGCTGTATAAGCTTGTTGTCCTCCGATCCTTTGTAGCTCTTATGATGTTTTAAACATTTTAAAATTACWTTAAAATCAAATGAATCAAATAAAAAGCTTAGATATGTACAAAACTCATAACTCATAGTCTATTTGCAATTGTATATATTACTGAATTTCTTCCTACCTGATGAATTTTCCTTACTAGATGCGCAAGCTTTTGAAAAATGAACAGTTTTTCTCTTTTTTAGATAGAGAAACTGAGTGAACGAGCTCGTCATTACACATGTTCTTATTTATGTATATATGACGCACCCGTCACTCAATCTTCTAATGCAAACGAGTAAAAGAGGTCCCAGCTTTCGAGGCACTCAAACCAAATGTACTGGATTAATAAAAACGACAACTTCTATACAGTCGATTAACATACGTCATAACTGACGTCACAATTGATCAAGCCTACGTAAGGATCAATTAGAACGTTTCGTCATTCTCCTTATAAGGTCGCATTTGAGCCACATCATGGTCAGCGGTGTAAAACTAAGACAGTTGAAAAAAAACACTAGTCCCTTGTGACTTTGACTTCTATCAAGTTTTTCTAATCGTATAATTTGTCTGTTTTGGCATGTAGGATGTCGTATTATTTTTTCTATTTGGCTTTCTTGCTATCAAATGAACTGGGCTGCCTGTGGTACTGACTGTAGTGAGGACTAGCTGGTCACCCTGTGGATAATAATTTGCGGTGACATGAGCACTATACCTTCGATTCCAAGATGGCGGCCAGGGAAGCATGTTCAAAAGTTGTCCACAAACTCCACGCTGTATCTTTAATAAAGAGCGGAATACGACAACCATGGTGGGAAAAAAGAACTCTCAAAGCCCTTGGACTCACAAAGCTTCACAAGGTGGTCATCCATAAGAATACTCCAGCAGTAAATGGCCTTTTACGTTCGGTAAAACATCTAATAGATGTCAGGCCTGTGAATGTGGTTGATCCATACAAAACCTCAGTAGAACACTCAACAGCAAACGAACAAGGAACACCAGTATTTCTGAAAGCTAATGGAGAGTTTGATTATACGAAATATCAAGATTTTATTACCTCGAATTCAAAGGAAACTAAAACAACGAGAAATTGAACTGCCAAAAACTCAGTTAAAGGAGGAAAAGATTTCTTTAATACGTACATACCTTATTGTTTGTACATTAACATCTGGACGTGATCGTTGAGGTTATTCATCTGCAATTGTCAACAAAGACGCGAAGTCGAATAATGTTGTCAAATGCCACAATTTTGCACCATCTCGTGATGGCAACCATGGCAGGAAATATTATATAAAATCATGAATCCCGACTGCAATCAACAATTTTCAAGGGAACATAATGTTATGTGAGATTTCTGGCCTAACCTGGTTTCTACTAATGCTGCATTATCAATAAAAGCCGATATACAACGGACAAGTGCTACTTTAGTATAATAAATATTTGCCAAACTAAAGGTCATGCAAATGAAGAAATAGTTGATTACATCTTTGTTTTCCCCCCCTGATTTTCAGATCATTGAATTTTCTATGTGACAACAACTAAAATAGTAAACAACTTATCTAATTTAGGTGACGTCAGCTATTTAACTGTTTGACTAAATTCACTCTAGTTTCATGTCCAATAGTACAATGTGTCTGATACATCAAAATAAAGAGCTCCAAAGACTAAATGTTCTTTTCTTTAAAATTATTTAAAAATTCAAAAATGGTTTTAATATCAAATATCATTTATACAAATCTAGTTCACATATTTTGGTATTATTTCATTACAGATGCTAGAGTGATTTTACTTATTTATTTATTTTTATTAAATACTAAAGTTAGAAGTACAAACAGATAGTTAAATAAGTACTGACTTTACAAAAAATAACAAAAGCATAAAATACAGGGGGGGGGGGGATGCAAAGGGCGGCTTAACAGAAATAGTTTGTTTGTGAAGAAACAGTAATGATGAAAAGGTAAATTATACACTGTGAAAAGATGAAAAAACTTACTGACGTTTCGGATGCTAGTCCTTTGCCTTTTTTACTCCGACGAAGGACTAGTTTTTTCATCTTTTCACGGTGTATAATTTACCTTTTCATCATTACTGTTTCATTAGAAACACCGACGCAGCTCACACTAGTTTTTAGCTAGTTATATCTTCTTGTGAAGAAACAGTAAACAATCAGTGCATAGTAGTAGAATGTTTTCTTTTGTTGTACTTTAACTGTAAATCATTAGGATGCAACTTTGTTGGCTAAATAAAAACACTCTTTATGCCACTGTTTTCATTACTACGCTCTGGTCAAGACTACAGTCGTAACATGAAAGTCAGGTAATAAGCTGCTGACAATCTGAGATAAACATCATTTGTGAGGGATCCAGTTATTAAAAAAGTTTGCTCTATGAAGAATGATTTGCCATGGTGCTAGTTATAGAACGATGTATTTAATTATTCTTAAGAATATTATTTTCCATATTAAAAATTTATCCAATTTAAATCAATTTTATTACATAATCACGAAAACGTGACAATATGTTCTTTGCTAATGATGCTGTTACTTTTGTTTTGTCAAATGACTCTTTCATCCATTCAATGAAGATATAATTATTTTAAATGTTCATGACCATATTATATGATCTCACTTGTACTGGCCGCATATAATTGATCCAGCAAGTTATAAAATACCTATTCTTCGATTGCACATTATGTCGTCGCGGCCATGTTGGTGCCATTTAAAAAAATTTCCAGGAGGCTAGAGTTGGTTATTTTTGGTATGCAAGATGCAATTTAAAAAAATTTATAAGAATGAAAGTCTAAAATAAATTTAAAAAGATCTTTGTATTTAACAACATTTTCTAACGTTTTTGACCTTGATTCTTTTGGCATACGTTTTTGATATGTTTTGCTTGAATAAACTTTCAATGTTTAGCCGTGCTGGCAAGTGCTTACTGCTCATTAATGTACCTCCATGATCATTGCTGTCATATTTATTTACTTGACTTTTGCAAAGTCTGCAGCCCTTTGTGTATCTTGACTCCCGTGCTTTGCTTGAATAAAATCTCCTCGGCAGACAAAAAAGTTCGACTTGGGCGAGTCTAATATTTATGAATACTTGGTCAGTTACTATCAACTGGAAGTCCTTTTTCCATGCCATCACAGTGACAATCAGTAGTTTTGTACAGTCCATTTTATGTGATGCAAGACGGCCATGATAATTCTTTCACTCAAAAAATTTCCAAGTAGGTGATGTCATCTTGGCATAGGTAATAAAGTTAGCTAAATTTGAACAATTTACCAAAATGTTATATCCTATAAACTGACTTCAAATGCCCAATGTTGAGAATAATTATCTGAGCAAGTATTCAGTATAAGTCCATTTTCTTTTACTTTGTCGCTGTCAAGACATAATCCAGACTTCTTGTGCCGTAACCTATTGATATCTTTTTCATATTCCCAGTGCTGCAGAAACAAAAAAAAAATAAATCAAACTTGCGATTTTCAAGTCTCTGTAACAAGAGTTGAGCTTTGCAGCCGACTTAACCTATAATTTACCTGAAGCATTTCATTATCATTACATTCTTGTAATAAAGGTGCTTCCTGAGAATTAGTACTAGAAGCTGTTAAACATGCTGAYTCATGCTTTAATAGAGAACTCTTGGTCAGGGACCACATCTGAAATAGTAGCAAAACAAATGTGTTATTAAGAACAGGCTATTTGTGTCCTAGAGGCCCTTGTATTCTAAAGACTTCAGTCAATAAAACATTTTATCTCCATTACTCTTCCCATCCATTCCTTTCTAATTTTTCTACCCATTCTGTCCTGCCATACCAACCCTATCCCACTTGAGTCTACTTCCATTACTCTTCCCTTCCATTTCTTTCTACTTTTTCTACCTTCTATATATATGTCCTGTTAGTACTTCCATACCTGTTCTAAACTACTCTACCTTTCTTTCATTCATTCATTTTCTTTCTTTTTTCTTTACATCCTTTTCTTTCCTCTTGTGGGAATGTACCAACCTGGTTTCCACCACCACCATGGCACTCATACAGACCAACATTTTGTCCAGTTAAATGGCCCAGCGTATCGATACACTGACTACCCTGCTTGATCTCACCAAAAGCTTTTGTATCATCATCATGAGGAACCCTGGATTCAAAAATAAAATTAATGCATGATTTGATTTAGGAAAAAGTTAAAGTATAGCATCTTGCCTCACTATTCTCTTGCAGTGCGTCTGTGTACAATTATACTCAGGGTTGCCTTTATTAATACTCTTAAACCATCCCATTCCTCCTCTGTACCAGGGTACTGCAATCATTGAGTAGAAACTATAATTTTTTTTGGAAATTCCATTGAGGAACTAGAGATTGTGTCATTCAGGTTTCTGTTATAATAGCCTATGCCTTACAGCTTGTAAACATATATATCTTTTAAATCCATATCTGTAATATCAYTGGCATTAATAAATTTATCTGGAGATTAAAGATCTAGTTACATCTTATTAAGGACTAGATAAAAATTTTCATTGATGACATACTGCATATGAGGGAGTTCAGGAGAGAAATATAAGAACACAAATGAATAAAAACAACATCAGGCTCTTAACTTTATTATTTTGTTTATCATACATTAAAAAAAGGAAGGAAGGAAGGGAGGAAGGAAGGAAGGAAGGAAGGGAGGGAAGGAGGGAGGAATGGAGGGAGGGAGGGAGGGAGGGAGGGAGGGAGGAAGGACGGAAGGGAGAGAGGAAGGAAATTGAAATGAAATATTATGGTTTTTCTTATTATCCACATATATGTCAACCCACAAGTTGTAATATTAACATATGCCTAATATTAACATATGCCTAATTTAATATCCTGCCAGACTTACTTGAGTTCTGGGTAAACATTCTGTACAAACCACTTGAAGGGTTTGCATTTCAGCTTTTTTCTGAGCTCTAGACGCTGTTCAATGCTAAAATGATTGGGGATAAGAAAACAAAGATATTGAAATAAATAAAACTGTGAAACATTAAATGTGATTTCATACATTTCATAAAGAATATCCATAATGAAAACTTACTTTCCATAGGGTGTATTCTTGGCATATGGAACAGCTGCGTAATAATATTTTTTATACTCATCCATCCACACTTCTACAGCTCTTCTAGTATTTCTGGAGGAAAAAATCAGGTTGAAGGTTTCATATTGGTAGAATAAAAATGATTAAAAAATTGAAAAATTACATAATTAAAAACATTTCAACCTCCAATAGCCTGCAAAGTGGTGTTTTGCGGAGGTTTACACCCTCACTCTAGCAGGTGTGCTTTTTATTGCAAAGTTTCAAATCTCATGTGATTACCTATGTTGCAAAATGCTCATTTTTCATAAGGTTGCACTTTAAAATAAGTTTGCATGATCACTTTTTGACTGCCACAGAAAACCACAAAAAACTATTAAATAAATACATGATTGCATAAATGCAGAAATTAATCAACATAATGCCAGTAGAGTTTGCAAGGCCGAGAAAAAGTATATCACCAGTAGTACTTACTTTTGAAAAATATTCATACTTCCGCCAGGAAATTTATAAGGGTGTCTATTACGGAAAACATGACCAACTCTAGAACAAGGAATGATTTCCATGGTACCACCACACTGCCAGGTTCTAAAGGATATTTCTGGATAAACATTAAAAACATATCAATTGACATATTTTTGTTATTGGCAACATTAATTATTACAGAAAAAAAGGTTACAAATGAGTAGCTGGTTAAAATAAACAGGACCTCTTGTACCGCTGATGTTCTTTGGCTGTGCCTGGTTTAACCCAATGTAACTTATCCTACCAGCACTACCCAACACCTTCCCAGCCTTGACAACACTCTGCTGAAGTTGGCCGCCCACTTGCCACACACTTCTGAAGACGAATCATTGGCCATAAGATGGTCAACCAATGATTGGTCCACAGTTTGCAAAATTTCAATAAATTGGCATGACTAGACAACTATGTAACAGTTCATTAACAACTTAACAAAACCTAATGCGAAGGTTGAACCTGGCATCCATTAGTCTAATGGCAGTCTTTTCCYGTCCTTCCATCATTCAACCTTTCATCTGGTAGAATTTTTTCCGATTATTTCAGGATTCATTTACGATTATTTTAAACTAGCATGCATCTAAAAGTTTTTTTCTTACCAAGGTTTTCACCTCCCCAGACATCCATCATCATGTCATACTTGCCCAGAGTTGCAAACCACTCTTTACCTATTGAGAAAAGTCCTCCTGCTATAACTGGGGTTCTGAAAAATACACATATTTGAAACTGAAAAGTGTGAAGACAACAGTCATTCACAAAATGCTGGGTCACTAAAAACTTAAAGCAGGGTTTGAGGGAGAGATGGCTTGGCCAAAGTTGTGTACATCAAGTAATGGAAGTTCAGGAAAATTTGAACAGTGCACACTCTTTCTTTGACCTTCTCCCCTCTTGGAATCACACACAGACACACACAAACTAAGTTACTATAGTGAATACCTCGTCCCCCATCCCCCCTCCCCCCAGGTATGGATGTCCTAATTCGAAGTACTTATATTTAGTACACAGTAGTTTCAATAATAATTATAAAAACATACTTGATGGGCATAGTAGGCTTTCCCTGCCTCTCTGAAATTATTCTGGCTGGTAGGAAGTCCCATTTGAAATTTAAATTCCATCCAAATCCTGAAAAACATTGATACAAAAAATGGTTTTCTTAGAAACTGCACATAATGTAATTTAGCATGTTTAACTTTTATTGTCTGGGATTACCCCTACATAAGGGTGGAACCTCTACATTACGGATACTAAAGGGCCAGAAAAAAGTGCCCATGATACAGAAGTGTAATGAAGAATGTATTAGTGAAATGAAAAACTTTGCTGGAACCTAAATATCTGTCCATAATATCATAGTCTGAGGTGTCTGGGTAATATGTGGGTGTATGTAACAAAGAGGTGTTCGTAAGGAGAGGTTCCACTGTGTATTTGCAGATTTCATACATGTAAAGTACATGTATGTGGGACTGGAGGGCATTTTGAGAGTAATCCAGTACTGTTCGAAAGCTGGATTTTCATTGCTCCCTAAGTAAAGTACTGCTTTTGTAAGGTTAGGTTTAGTGATATTGTTTGGATGACCAATCTATTGTTTTTTAATCCAATCATGTAACTCATTCCGAGCGGCACGGGCTGGCTCCATTTCAAGACATAGTATCTGTCACATAATACAGGTGTACCAATGAAGTGAAACCTCAGTCACCTGAGAAGATTAAAGTATTCACTCCCAACATACATTATTCCAATATTCATCTGTTATTTATTTCAGTTGGATGCCTTGTAACATTCATTTTTATCAATACTTATAATACTAAATATTTCGCACACCTCCTCTTAAATCAGATGAAGATCCCAGGTATTCAAATGTGTCCATGTTGATGACGTCTATTATTGGTGATACCACAGTTTTGGGATTCTGAAAAGATAAAACAGTAGGTAACTTAATAAAAGATTTTAAAAAGTTCTAAATGGGAATTAGCAGTGCATTCTCTATGGAGTAGCTATTTAACTTTCGAGATCTCAATAGTATTTTTGTAAAGCCGGAAAACCCAAAGGAAAGCCTTTAAATCACAAGAGGAAACCAGCAAGCAACTATACTTACATATGCCAACAAGTTCAGAAATGGAACACAGGTTACATTGGTGCGTGTGTGTGTCTTGGGGCAGGGGGCAGGAGAGAGGGAGGAGGGGAGAGGGAGGAGGGGAGAGGGAGAGGGGCTTTCTTACCACTACATTATCCCTGCTTTCAGACGACATGGTAGTCCCTAAATACAGACATTATAAAGTTGGGCTGACAATTATCGTACCTCTTTAATCCTGAGTAGTAAAGGTTCAAGCCAATTTTTACTGCATTCACAATGACTGTCCAAGAATGTCAGAACCTCCCCTTTGGCTATGTCTGCACCTTTGACTCTTGACCGAATCAAACCTAAACATGAAAACACATAATCTTGAGTACCAAGAAAACTTGGGTAATCATGTACTTCATGATTAGCCAATAGGTGTTGATCAACATGCAGCAGACTGCTGGCAGATCATTCGGGGCTCACAATAACAGCCAATCATCAATAGCTGAGCAGAATTTGAACTTGTCCATTCAAACATTTACCTGGCCAGTCATTTTGACCAGTGCCGTTAATCAAGAAACAAATATAGCTGAGCTGAAACTAATTTGGCCAGTGGTCATAAAAGGTGATTGACTGATCATTATTTAAGGTTCTGTCCTTGGTCAATAGGGACCTAAGCTGCAGGACGGCAATGTGGGTGACAACTTCGGCRAAATTGAAGGGCTTCAACCTTCTATTGTATTACTATTTTGTGTTTACCTAGTATTTTACTCAATAAACATCTCCCTTTTAGAGTGAAATGTCGTCTTTTGGGAGCGCTTTACTTATAACGAAAATCAGCAAAGATAAGCTTTTGGTAGCCGTTCTCTTTAGTACGTGAAAATAGGACAGTTTACRTCTTACTTTCAGCATAAGACGGCAATGATGCATAGTATTTCGTACATTCCAACGAGTATCTATTGAATAGCGCAATTAGTGCTATTGTATGTTTGCCGTCTGCGTCGTCATTGCTGTCCTGCAGCTTAAGGTCCCTAATATTTCACCAACACTTCACACAACAGCATTTGGCAAAGCAACAGCAACACTTAAAAAAGCAATAATCTGACATATTTACCTTCTCGTTTTTGATTTCTGATGAGTTTAACCTTTGGTAGTCTAAGAAGCTCTTTGCCATCCTCAGCTGTGAACAAAGACAGTCAGCACCTTAATATTATCTCTCTTCTTAATTTATTTCTATATAATTGTCAACATCGATTCAATAATAATTAATAGACAAAGTGAGTGAGCATGCATCCTCTGCTCTCATTGATTAGAAAATCTAAAACAACATTGAATCTAAAACTTTTTTGACCTTATCACCGTGTCACATGTTTAATTACCCTAAGGCTTGTGAAACGAAACCTCCGATCAACTTAAGACTATTTTACTAAATATATCAAATTCGTAATTTTGGGCTACCTGTGTTTGGTGATCCACAGGTAACCCAAACATTTGCTTGGAAATACAACAATATACATGTAGGTACATGGACTGAAATTGTTTTGCTACTTACGGTCATCACTAAAATCATCCACCAAAATGATTTCTTTGAGAAGCTTTGGTGGGCTTTTATTGATGGTGCTGTAAATAAATAAAATATATCATGAATAATTTTCCAGTTTGATCATGATTATATTTATCTTTTTTAAAAGCCTAAATTCTGGTGGCAACATAGTAGTACAAGTTTTTTAACAACTTAATGGGACTTCTCATTATTTATCACAAAAAATTTTTTTCCCAATAGACCAGTTTCAAATTCTAAGTCACCGCTGTGTTCCTTGATTACAGACTCATTTGCACAGGGTTAGCCTCGTATCAGTGTTTAAATATTCACAAATACCAACGGTAAAGTAAAGAATCCACAACTTCAACAATACAAACACTTTGAAGCTCGACGGACCTTGACTGCAACACGTGAATATTCTGCACAAACTCAAGGCTAACCCTGTGCAAATGAGTCTGTAATCAAGGAACACAGCGGTAATTTGGAATTCTAAACGGGTCTATTCAGATCATATCTAACCAATGCTTTGGTAGTGAAATTATACCTCTTTACCTTGGGTGTAATTATTGTTTCCCATTCAGACCACATACGTGTCATTCCCCAGAATTCTTCTTTTCATTGTTGAACTGCTGCACATGATAAGCTGAATATAGATACAACTCAAACAAAGAATCTTACAAATAAGATTCTTCATTTGAGTGGTATTCAAATGCATGTGTCTTCTCTTGTTCAACCATTAAACGAAGAAATAATACTATAGGGAATGACACCTGGAGGTCTGAAATGGAAAAACTATATAAAAATTATATCCATAGGAAAGAGGTCTATTCACTTATACAGCTAAATTATTTTTCTACCAAACAAGTACAAAAAAAAGACCTTCTACAAACCTGACAACTGTGCGAAGAAGTGCACTTCTACCTTCATTATGGAAACAAATAATAACAGAGGTTGTTGGCAAATCATCTGGCCAAACTGTCTTCTGGCATCTGAATAAAGCAATGAGTAAAACATGCTTGAAACTCCTAATTTCATCAAACATTGAAACAAACTTTGTACCGATCAGTTCAGTAAGTCAGCTGACATCAACAGCCACCCATAGATCAAGTTTGAGAATGTTGTATGTTACGTTTTTTCTTTTTACGAAGGGGAACTGAAACTATTATTGGTATAGAGTTGGTAGTGTAGGTTGGTAGAATGTCGGTTTCATTCAGTATAAATGGCTTGAGTTTGATGGTGTTAATATAATAATTAGAGTGAAGGCATTTAACCTGTTAAATAAAAATTATTAGTCAACGTGTAAAAATCAAATAGACACAAAAGAAAACAATGGAATTAGGGACTACTAATTTGTATTAGTTTAATATCTATTCCACAGGTTTAATGACTTCACTCTAATATATTTATATTAGAAAAAGAAATCTGCCTAACACCGACTAGTTTGACAGACATTTGAATCTTTATCATAATCTTAATTGTAGTCTATAAAACACCAGTTTAATAAACTAGTTATTTACTGAGGGGTTAATAGATCTCTAACATTGTTTATTTAAAAAATCTGATTGACATTTGATTGACAGGTTGAAGATAACTTGATGATGGATCGCTGGTGGCCTGCCTGAGTTGTAATAAATAATTGTTATTTTA